CTCATTAAGCGGTACCCGGTGGCGCCAAGTACAGTGTCTCCTCACAAGTTTCAAGATTTGTTGAGCATCAGTCGGGAGGTTCAGGATGGATTTATCCGAAGGTTTTTGCACTTTCCACTTCTTGTACCAGCGCTATGGCAATCCACACGGTTTTGAGGCACCAGATACTGGCCTCGACCCATTCGGGAAACAAAGATAAAGTGGGAGGCACGGCGGGGTTTGGCTTTTATCGTGGCATTCTTGGGTGTCATAATCTGCCCAAAGAAAAGACGGAAACATAGAATTGGGTCTTGTAGGAATGGCCGAAGTCATGAATTAAAAAAGCTAATGGCACCCTTGTTCCAATGATCTTAGCGGAGATTTACCGAGCTTTAACCATTTGTCGAGAAGGGGGAAAATTTTTTTAGGACTGTAACCTGCTTCAACAACTTTGGATACAAGAACATCTTTGTCACCGCTTGGGGTACATGAACTACGGCATAACTGGTCTGAATTGCATTGAAGAGTATGAAAACCGAGTGGTGGGTTGTGAATTTCCAGAAGGTACAGAGGCCTGGTTTGCGCATCTGAGTTCCTTAACTTCGAACAAAATCGAGTGGACTTTCGGTTGGCTCCCTGTCACTGAAGTCATTTACATGTCAGCCGAGGTGTGTTATCTTCTCTTAATGGGCCTCCGGAGCATTCAGCCATATGCGCCACACAAAGTGCTGCGGCAACTAGGCAGGTGCCAAACTATTCCACATGATGAATATCTGAGCCAACAAGTTATTGAATTGGGTCCAAAAGCTGTATTCCCAGAAGGAAAAGTTCGTCAGATTTGGAATGAGTGTACATTTTTAGAGCCAAAGACTCGGGTGCGGGATCTATCTAAAGGCGAAATAGAGCCTAATTACATGAATTCGTTTGGGAAAAGATTTCAAATCCATCAGGAGCCCGAACGGCCTGCTAAAAGACCCCACGTCCAGCAATTCATAGACGATTCGCGGGGGCAATGGGATTAGTTGGAGAAAAAGGCAAGCTACAAGGCCAAGATAAGCAAATTGGAGGGACAAATTAGGGATCTCAAATTTGACAATAGTATACAAGTTGCTGCCAATGAAGGGGAAAAGAAGAAGTTGGCTCAAGAAAACAAAACTCTTCGCGCCCAGACCCAAAAATTGAAAATAGTTGCTGAGAACCGGGAAAGGAGCCGAACAGATGAAAGGTTGATAAGCGGTCTTAAAAGGAAAGTATCTGAGTATCAGGATGACTTAGAAAAATCCGAGGTTAATCTAGCAAGAGCCCGAGCACAGCTGAAAAAGAATGCAGAAGGACGGGCGGAGTTTATACGGTAGTTGAAAGGGAAATACGAGGGAATAGTCACAAATTTGAAGAAAAGGCTAACTACCCTCGAAAATGAGATGGCCAAGCAAGCTAAGAACTTTAAAGCAGAAAGGGAACATTGCTATGCATTAATATCCCAGCTAGAGGAAGATATGCAATAGTTGCAGGGTCAAAACCATCATGATACCCAATTGCTAGAAGCTAGGTCTCAGCAAATCATGCGTTTGCTCCAAGAAAAGGGTATCATCAGGGAGAGGGTTAGAGCAATTGCTGATTACATCGTCATGAAATGCCAAAAATGTGAAGACATGACTCGAACCACCTTCTTTGTTGCGGTAATGACCTTTGTTCGTCAAATAATGAGTGACCTGAAGCGTCTTCAAGGGGATCTTGCACATAGGCCCGTGGCAAGACCGACTAATGTCCCACGGGCCCCTAGAGTAGAAGCACTTATGTACTCTTGATTTTTATTTTTATTTCTGAGTCTGTATTTCAGTTTCTAGTTTTTAAAGTATGTTTCGAGTCTGTTTGTAGTTTTTAAGTTCCTAGAAAGAGTATGATGGAGTCTTTTGTAATAGAGAACAGTAGAGTTTTTATTAATGAAAAATTGGAAAATCCCGAAAATTGTTTTCTTATTTTTCGCATTTATTCCTTGAACTACGTGATGATCTGATTCACGAGGCGTCGTGATACGTAGGCAATCCTCATCGGATCCGGTCATGATTTTGAAAATAACTCAAATAAAAAAAGACTGTGGAAAGGAAAGAGCCAAAAGAAAAGAAAGAGAAAACCAAAAGAAAAACCAAAAAGAGAGAAAATGAGGGTGCAAAAAGAGCAAGAGAGAAAATTGGGGAGATAAACAAAAGCCGGGATGAAACACGCAACCGTTGCAAAACATATAGAAAACACACTTAACTGTATAGGTGCATCACACCCCCAACGTGCGTATACCTATGTGTTAATTGTCTCACACTAACCAGTTTGTTGTGTTTGCTGTTGAGTATAGGTTCTATATTAAGGTGGTTGGTTTTGTGGTAATCTGGTTTCACATCCATACTTCACAAGATCAAAAGGAAGTGTTGAAATGTCGTCGGAAAGTCATCTACCAACAGTTCCTATCCTGGAGGATAGCCTGATCTCGGCCATCCCAACTTCAGAGTCAGCGGCTGCTGAGGAAAATAGAATTCTACGTCTCTGCATGATGGAAATGTGGGACGCCTAGTCCAATGGTAGAGAACCACCAAGTGCGATACCTGGATTCCCTGAGCTACTTCCCAAGGCAAGTGGAACTTCCAACGTCCCCATAAGTTACCCGAATACCCCACTTGGATATCCTACCATCTCAGCTCACTTTGCTGGAACACCTTCTGAGGTTCGCCCCCAGGTGTTAATTTTAGGTGCGGCCTCGAACATATTCACTGCGCTACCCTCTTCGGCTACGGCGCAACCCACTTTACCCAGGCCGAGTTTTGATCCACCATCTTTCACCTTCCAAGGACCATCGTTTCCACTGGAACCTACCCAGTTCACTACTAAATCTTACCCTCAGCAACCCCGGTACGAGTTTACCGCGGGACAGGAGAAAACTACAAAGAACCCCAAGCAGGAAGAAATCACTCGGAAGATGAGGAGCATGGAACGGAGCCATAAGAATATACAAGGCTTAAGTGGTCAAAAGAGCATATCCTATGCCGATTTATGTATGTTCCCACATGTCCACCTACCCCTGGGTTTTAAAACTCCCAAGTTCGAGAAGTACAACGGACATGGGGACCCCATAGCTCACCTCGAGAGGTACTGCAATCAACTGAGAGGAGCAGGTGGAAAAGGGGAGCTTTTCACGGCTTATTTTGGAGAGAGTCTAGTGGGCATTGCATCCGAGTGGTACATGGATCAGGATATATCCCGTTAGCACATTTGGGATGATCTAGCTAGGGATTTCGTCAGGCAGTTTCAGTATAACATAGACATAGCTCCCGACAGGAATTCTCTATCAAACCTCAAGAAGAAGTCCTCGGAAAGTTTCCGAGAATATGCTGTCAAATGGCGCGAACAAGCGGCCAGCGTCAAGACTCCAATGGATGAAATAGAAATGGTGAGTGTTTTTCTTTAAGCCCAAGAGGCTGACTACTTTCAGAATATGATGTCTGCAATGAGGAAGCTGTTTGCTGAGGCCATCAAGATTGGTGAAATAGTCGAGAATGGTCTAAAAACAGGGCGCATATTGAGTCAAACTGCTATAAGGGCTACTTCCCAAGCAATTCAAGGCGGGTCCAGAGGTGTAGCGAACAGAAAGAAAAAGGAAGAAGTGGCAATGGCAACTTCAAGTGTAAGAAAACCCCGTCCAACCAGAAATTACTTCCCTCTAAGCACCCCACAACATTATAATCCTTATCAGGATGTGGCCTACGCCATGGCTCCTCAGCCGTACGCAGTAATGAACTCCCAGCCATAAGCTAGGCCACAACAACAGTTCAACCAAAACCGAGCTCCATTCCCTAGAAACAACCCTCCTCCCCAAGCTCAGTATAACCCCCGACCTCCACAGAATAACTTCCCCTACAATGCCCGTGCTCGGGAGCCACCCAGGAGAACAAACTTCACACCTATTGGTGAGTCATACTCTAGTCTTTTCCCTAAACATGTCCAGATGGGTTTGTTGCAACCAGTACCCCAAACCAGGCAGAACCCAGAGTCGCCCTCCTACAGAGCTGGTACTCGATGTGCTTACCATTCGGGAGCGGAAGGGCATGATACAAAAGACTGTTGGACTCTGAAAAGGGCTGTTGAAAATCTCATAGAGCAAAAGCGAATAGTGTTAAAAGATGAAGTCATTCATAATATGACCAACAACCCAGTACCGGCTCACAACAACGGGCCGGTTATTGGAATGAACTGCGAAGATAAGGAGTTTGATCCTGCTTTGAGAGCCATAATTGCAATCGTTGATGTCGAGAAGAAGCCAAGAGCTACTGGAAAACAAGACAAGGGGGGAGGAGAAGAGTAAACCCACCCCTCAAACTACAGAAAAGGAAGTGGAAACCAAAACTGGGGCAGTACCCCCAATAGATGCCATTCTTTATGTTTCCCGGGGTCACACGAAAGAACAAATGACATTGAGCCCTCCAAAAAGTTTTGAGCTGAACAGGGGACCTAAAATGTACGTGCCCAAAGGAACCTATGTGGCACGGGGGCAAGTAATTTCACCAAGGATGAATGAGCCAGTGGTTATTAGTAGCGCACCGCAGAGGCCCATGACAGACCCCACTGCCGTCCCATGGAATTACAACAGAGCGGTAGTGACATACAAGGGAAAAGAGGTCCTAGGGGAAGCAAATGAAACTAACCCAGCTGGGAAATACCCTACTTTGGAGGATTTGAACAAAGCCAAGAAAAAGCATTTCCCACTCAAGAAGCCCGTTAGTGCTGAAGAGGCCGAAGAATTCTTTCGTAAAATGAAAACTGCCGACTATGACGTAATAAACCAACTCCGGAAGTCTCCTTCACAAGTCTCACTCCTGTCTCTGCTAGTGAGCTCAACCGAGCATCAGAAAGTGTTGATAAAAACCCTCAATGAAGCTTATGTTCCGATTGAAACCACTTTTGAACAACTGGAAAGGATGGCAGAAAGATTCTTCGCAATCAACCAGATCTCATTTAGCAAGAATGATCTACCCCCGGAAGGGGCTGCCCACAACAAAGCCCTTTACTTGACAGTTAAATGCGAGGGGTACTATGTGAAAAGAGTCATGCTGGATGGCGGATCCGGAGTTGATATCTGCCCTCTCTCGACTTTGCAAAGAATGGAGATTGGGACTGAGAGAATCGAGCCTAACAATGTCTGTGTGCGTGCCTTTGATGGCATTAAGAGAGAAACCATAGGCGAGATCGATTAGATTTTGACTATTGGTCCTGTAGATTTCGAGGTGACGTTTCAGGTCCTAGACATGGACACTTCTTATAATTTCCTCTTGGGAAGGCCTTGGATTCACGCGGCGGGAGTCGTACCTTTCACTCTCCACCAGATGGTGAAATTTGAATATGAAGATCAGGAGATCGTGGTCCATGGAGAGGACGAGCAATCAATTTATCGGGACCCATCAGTCCCATGTCTTGAAGCAAGGGAAGGTAGCGAACATATAGTCTATCAGGCTTTCAAGGTTGTGGTCGCCGACCAATGTGAAGAAGGAAGCCCATGTACTCAACCCTTTCTCGCAAATGCGTCAATTATGGTTGCCAAGGAAATGATCAGGCATGGATATAAACCCGGGAAGGGGCTCGGGACATCATTGCAAGGTATCACAGAACCTGTTACTCTGGCCGCTAGCGAGAAGTTCTTTGGTGTGGGTTTTCAGGCCACACCGGCTGATTAAACATGGGAAACTAAACGGAAGAACAATGGTTGGGTCTTGCCTCAGCCAATCCCGCATCTGTTTGAAACATTCGTCAAGCCCAAGTACACAGAAGAGGAAGATGAGGCCTTCACGGCCGAGGAGATTGAAGAAATATGTGGAGCTATGAGGCAGATGTTGTATGAAACCCACATGGTTCAGCCGGGAGAAGGCTCAAGCACCGCTGAGGTGCTGTATATAGGGCCCAATGCCAAGTTGCAAAACTGGAAGGCTACTCCGTTCCCAGTCAGGCGGGAATCCCGGTAGTCCAGTCTTGCCACCTTTTCTATATCACAAGTTATTGCAGGGTGTAACTCGGATGTTTCCTTTAGTTTACTGTCTTTAAATTCCAATGTAAACCCTTCTATCTTCAAAATTTGAAAAGAAAACAAAAAAATCATCACAAAGAAAATCAAAAAAATGAAATTAATATTTCATTGTCTAGGAATGTCTCTTTTCTTAATCTTGTCATTTTTCTTATTCTCTTTTTAGTTCTGTTAAATGTAGATTTCAATAACATGACATGCTTGCGGACTTCATGCCCAGATCCCAAAACACTGTCAGACTTCGAAATAATGAATCAAGACTCAGAATGCAAAGAAGATAAGTTTGAGGAAATAAAACAAAGAATTGGAATAGCTAAAGGAAAATTGGTTCCAGATTGGAAAGGTCCATACATTGCAACAAGAGTACTGTCAACAGAGCGCGTTGTACATGGGACACATCGAAGGAAATGTCCCAGAAACAACTGACAATGCAAATGCAGTTGAAAGGTACTATGTTGGATCCTCTATATAGCATTATTGTTCTCCGATTGGGATGAAGAAGGCTTTCTTTCTCGCTACCCAAACACTATCAACCCTTGCCAACCCTTTGAGCCGGTTACCTTTCTTTGATTATCCTCTTTGGAACCTGACAGTGTTAGTGAAAAAAAAAAGAAAAAAAAGATTGATTTGAAAAAATGAAATGAAAAAAAAAGAGGAAGAAAAGACAAAGAAAATGAAAAAAAAACAAAAAAAAAGAAGAAAAGAAAAACAACAAAAACAATAAAAACAACAAAAACAAAAAGTTTTCCCTGAACTACGTTCGACTTGATTCCGAAAGGATACGTTGGCAGCCTCTCTCTGGGGTTCAATCACACCAAAACAAAAATCCAATTTCCCCGCAAAAGTAAAACTGGGGCAGTTGTTATGATGGTTCGGCGATGATCCCGCCTGAATGGTTCCAAAGTTGTAATTCAATCCAAATTCTTTTGACCCAAACCTTGTTCAAGTCCTTCCGATCAAGCGGTGAAAGGTGTTCAAAATCGGAGAACGCAGTTGTTTGAACCCGATGCAATCAAGATAAGAGAAACAAAATGAGAGAGTCTTATTGGTGAAAACCTACGGGCACCGTAAGGCGATGGTGAGCAGAGAAATTGAAATGAGAGAGTCTTGTTAGTGAAAACTCGTAAAGAGCACTATAAGGTGACGGTGAGAAGAGAAATGAGAGAGGTCGATTGGCGAAAACCCGCAAAGTGCGCCGTTGATCGAAAAGAAGAAATCCCTCACCACCATTGGCACTGAAAGAGTCCTGGCAAGGTTTCTCGGTTTTAAAACACGGGTCATAATGGGTTTATGAGAAGTTGGATAGTTGTGCAGATCGGGTATCCAGTCCAAGAAGCATGTCATGTCTATTGAAGTCTGCATGCACTCCAGATAAGTCCTTATGTCCTCCCCGAAAGGGACACTTCTCTTTAAATTCACTTTCTTGTCCTTTGTTTGGTTTTCTTTGAATCCCTTTCGGTCTAACTTTATCCCGAAACTAATACAAAGAAAAGGTGGCAAGATTGGTTTTACAGGGTTCTGCTTAATAAAAGCCAAATCCAAAGAAAAGCACCCAGCCTCAGCGGGCGCATCAAGTCAATCCCGACTGGCCATGATGGCCGATGCTATGAAGTCAAATTTATTGAAAATGAAAGAAATCCAAAGTCAAATGCCCATAGAGGCAGAATAAGATGAAAGGGCCAAAGCCCCATACGGGTGAACCGTTATGAGAAATTTTGGAAAGTTGAGTTCCTCGGTTTTAGAAGAGACATCAATCTTCAGAAAGCCAGCAAGCAACAGATATTCTCACCAAAGGAGTTGGGCCGAGATCAAGTGATCAAAACAATCAAGGCCACAAAACCAACCACCGTTTCAAACTAACAATTGTTCTTTGTTTGACAACATGAAATAGGTGCAGTCCAAAGCAACCTTGCAAGAAGCAGGTGCAACCAAAAAGAAAAAAATGTGCATAAGGCTAGAAACAGCTTTACAGCTTATCATCACATTAGTATTGTTCTATGTAATATCATCACAGAGTATGTTATAAACTCTGCGATGATCATAGAATATTTAGTTCTAGCTAGTTCTTACTTTTTGCATGCTTGCTAGTAGGTGAGGCATTTTTTATTTGCCTCAATAGGATTAGTAAGGTAAGGTTTAGCCTAGTCTGTGTTGCACTGGTCCTATGCCTTTGGAAAGATATCCAAGTGGCTATGAGATTATATGCCCTCGTGAGACTTTGCCGGCAGCTACACCATGATTCCTCTACATTAGGCTGCCATATGGGCATTTTGAGGCGCAGAGAAGTGATTATATGGCTAAGGCATAGAGGCAACACTAATAGTGCTATTGTCCCCCTTATTTGTACTCATCCTATGTGGTTCTTTTTCTTAGTTAATAATAAAACTAGCCCTAGGCTCCTGCCTAGTAGTTTTGCAAAAAAAAAAAAAAAGAGCTTTACAGCAACAAACCATAAAAAGGGAAGTCCCCTCCAAATTTTTTCCCAAATCTACTCATTCCATGAAATAAAAAAAAAAGAGAGAATAAAACAAAATGAAAAAAAAATATAAGAAGAAAATTCAAAAAAAAAATGGTAGCTTAGGACCCCCAATCTCAATATTTACGCTTCTCCAACATAGGGTCTCCACTCCCTAGTTGAGTTTATTATTTTTAGACATAGGGTCTAAACTCCCTAGTCGCCTTTTGCCAACATAGGCTCTCCACTCCCTAGTTGAGACTATTTTAGATATAGGGTCTCCACTCCCTAGTCGCCTTTTGCCAACATAGGGTCTCCACTCCCTAGTTGAGTTTATTTTTAGACATAGGGTCTCCACTCCCTAGTCGCCTTTTGCCAACATAGGGTCTCCACTCCCTAGTTGAGTTTATTTTTAGACATAGGGTCTCCACTCCCTAGTCGCCTTTTGCCAAAATAGGGTCTCCACTCCCTAGTTGAGTTTATTTTTAGACATAGGGTCTCCACTCCCTAGTCGCCTTTTGCCAAAATAGGGTCTCCACTCCCTAGTTGAGATTATTTTAGACATAGGGTCTCCACTCCCTAGTCGCCTTTTGCCAACATAGGGTCTCCACTCCCTAGTTAATTTTATCTTAGACATAGGGTCTCCACTCCCTAGTCGCCTTTTGCCAACATAGGGTCTCCACTCCCTAGTTGAGATTATTTTAGACATAGGGTCTCCACTCCCTAGTCGCCTTTTCCAACATAGGGTCTCCACTCCCTAGTTGATTATTTTAGACATAGGGTCTCCACTCCCTAGTCGCCTTTTGCCAAAATAGGGTCTCCACTCCCTAGTCGC